CAGTTATACATACAATGCTACATGTGGATTGTAATTTGTTTTAAGCTCACATATACCTATGAAGCATCTCCTTACTTTCTAATCTTGTCCTTCACTTACTTCCTTCAAATCAGAAAGATCTTCTCTATAGTGTGGCCTTTACAAAGATGGAGGTCATGAATGATTACAGTTCTGTGTGTTTTCTATCTCTTTAGTTTTGAGCTTTTGTCTTTGCTGTTTTGTTTTCTCAATGTTCTTGTAGTACATTACTTTTTAATTTCTTTGAAATGTAAAGAAAATTCCCCTACTCAATTTACTCTCTCGTGTCTTCCAATGTATTCACTTGCTTCTTAGTATCAGGACACAGATCAGATCAGAAGCTGTGTTAAAAACCTCACTGTAATTTTATGACCACTTTTTAACTCTAAATAAGGTTACATTCTGAGCCACTGTTGGGTAAGACCTCAACAAATGAATCTCCAGGACATAATTTAACCCATAAGATCTTCTCTCCTTATTCTTCCTGTAATACGAATTACTAAATGGTCTTTTAATAAAAAACCCAGAACCAGATATTGGTGTGAAAGCTGTAAGGTCAGAGAAGCAGAGCAAGCCACAGCCACCACCTCTTCCCTCACCAACTTCCCTCACCCTGAAAAACCTCAGCCTAGGCCTCTAGCCGAATGAGCTTCCTCAGCTGAAAAGGCTTTAGTTCCTGTTTCCTCACACCTTATATACCTTTCTCTACTCTGCCATATTACTTCCTGGGATTAAAGATGTGTGTGCTTCCCAAGCAAAGGTATGAGATCTCAAGTGCTGGGATTAAAAGTGTGTGCCACCACTGTGTGGCTGTTTCTCTCCTAGACTGAGTCAATCTCATGTAGTCCAGGGTGGCTTTGAAGTCAGAGATCCAGACGTTATCTCTGTCTCAATAATGCTAAGATTAAAGGTGTGTGCCACCACTGCCTGGCCTCTATGTTTAATCTATTGGCTTGCTCTGTCCTCTGATCTTTAGGCACATTTTATTAGGGTACACAATATATCATATTTTCCTTATAGGGTCTTAAGGCAAATTTTTAATTCAAAACGTGTAACTTGTTTTTCCCGGTAGATCCATGATAGGTCTCCTAAAATTGAGTTACATATATTTTTTTTGAAGTTTTTCTGTAGTATTCTGTATTTATCTGCCCGTTCGGCCTGTTTAGGACAACAATTCAGTTCCCAGTCATAACCAATCTTTTTATCACTCAGCCTAGTGAGTTAAGAAACACAGAATAGCATTAGTTCCCAAAATTACATTTGTGCTCTAACTATACTTCCTTGAGCAGTCCTATTATCTTGTTAAAGCTTTATTTCCTGTGTTCTATTAACTCGGTGCTCAATAAAGTTACTGAGTTCCTTTCAGCCTTTTTTGTCTGCTCATGATGGACTATTCCCTTAGCATGCAGCCTGGTCACATGGTGAACATTCACTACAGTGAAAAACAGCAGGTCACAGGACACAGGGAGTTTAAGCACCAAATATGCCAAGCTGACTCTTCTGCTGAAGCCTGGAAAAAAGGTTTACATGAATATACCCACTAGTCCACTTCCCCTCAGATGAACAGAACTCAATTGACCTCAAAGTACAAAGCAAAATCCAAAAGGATACTATCAGTAAAGGCCTCTTAAGCTGCCTTTGCAAGCTTTGAGAAAAGGAAAATCTGTCTTTATTCTGTGGCTCCAATTTTGCTCAATAGCAAGGTGAAAGAAATGCTCTGCCTGCATTCTGTCAGAACCCCTTAGTTTCCTGTCTTAGGTCTAGAGGTTTGCTTATGTGGGTTATTCTGCTCCAAGAAGCAGGGAAAAGGAGTCAGCAACAGGAGCTAAAGCCAGGGTCTTCCCACAGCCCTCCCTTCCCAGAACCTTCACTTTACACTCCAAGACGACTCCCTCATCACAACTGACATTCTTTTTGAAAAGTTGGTTTTTACATGCATTTATTTTTGTGGGGGTGTGTGTAGAATTGTGGTTAAGTATCTGTGGGGAGGCTAAAAAAAAACAATTTTGGGGAGTCAGTTGTCTCTTTCCAACATTGTGAGTCCCTGAGATTGAACTCAGACCATCAGACTTAATAGCAAATGCCTTGCCCAGTGATTCATCTCACTGGTCCTACATCATTCTTAGTAATAAAAACTGGAGTCTCGCCGGGCGGTGGTGGCGCACGCCTTTAATCCCAGCACTCGGGAGGCAGAGGCAGGTGAATCTCTGTGAGTTCGAGGCCAGCCTGGGGTACAGAGTGAGTTCCAGGAAAGGCGCAAAGCTACACAGAGAAACCCTGTCTCGAAAAACCAAAAAAAAAAAAAAAAAAACTGGAGTCTCAGCTACTTAAGAAGCTGAGGCACCGGGTCAGAACTATTGAATCCTGAAGCTCTTAGGTCCTAGACAAATATATGGCTGAGTGGTTAAAAGTGCATACTGCTCTTCCAGAGGACTCGGATTTGGATCCCAGCAACCATATCTAGCAGCCTGTAACTCTAGCTCCAGGGCATTTGACACACTCTCCTGGTCCCTACAGATACCCATATATATGTTTTGTAACTGCTTTGTCTACCTGACAGAGCATGACAAAAAGTTCACGTGACCTGTCTAATCATACAGTGGGTTCTTTATGACACCGGCTTTGTATCTTTGTATCTCTGTAAAACTTTTTCATCATAATAATTCAAAAGCTAGTTACTGCATTTTGTTGTTGTGGTTCTAGGGGTTAAACCCCAGGGTCTAGTTCATACTAAGAAAGAACTCAACTACTGAGCTAAAATCCATAGCTAGCCCTTTTTCTAACTTTGGTTGGTTGGTTTTGTGTGTATGGCTGTATGTATCTCTGTGCATCCACATGAATGACTAATACCCATGGAGGCTAGAAGAGGATGCTGAAGTCCCTGGAGCTGGGATTCAAACCCAAGTGTTACAGTAGCATGAATGTAACTGACACTCATAATCTCATAGGGAATGGCACTGTATGGTGTGGTTTTATGGAGTGAGTAGGGCTTGTTGGAGGAAGTGTGTCACTGTGCGGGTGGGCTTTGAGGTTTCCAATGCTCAGGATAACATCCAGTGTTTCAGTCAACTTCCTGTTGCCTGCAAGATATAGGACTCTCATCTACTCCTCCAGCAGCACATCTGCCTGCCTGCTACCATGTTCCCCGCCATGATGATAATAGACTGAACTTCTGAAACTGTAATCAAGCCTACCCAATTAAATGTTTTCCCTATAAGAGTTGTTGTAGTCATGGTCTCTTCACAGCAATAAAACCACTAACTAAGACACCAAGTCTTCTAGAAGAGCAGCCTGTGCTTGTAAGCACTGAGCCATCTCTCCAATCTCTTGATGTAATTTTAAAAAGAACCAAATTTATATTCTAACTGAACAACCATTAAATGGCTTTCACACTAAAAAAAGAGGTCGCACTATTGTTCAGGTGTGAGATAGTAAAGCATTAAACCTTAATACCTAAAAAATGGAGGGAAATAATGGGGAAATAAAAGTAATCAAGTAAAAACTGAATTCAAGGTTCTAAAAGTAACATCAAGAAACAAAACAACTGATTTAAGAAATTGAGGGCTAGGGATATACCTTAGTGGGACAAAGACTCCTAGCATGTGTGAAGTTCAATTCCTAGAACTAAAATTAAAAGGAAAAGTGAGGAAGGAACAGAAGGGGAGGAGAGAGAAGGGGGGAAGAAAGGGTGTGGGAGGAGAAACTTAAAAGTACTAAAAGCAACAGGTTTAGTAAATATTTAAACTAAATAAACTGAGTGGTGTGCAATTCTATATTATATAAAGGATTATCACTGTTTTTAAAGAAAAGCTAATAAAATGACTTATTTAAAATGTCAACATTTTCTATATTGTAAAATGACTTAAAGCAAGATGTACTAAGTCTGTTTCTCTCGAGGCAGCCAAGGAATACAGCAAGACATTTTCAAGGCTTGAGAAAACACAGATAACTTGATTAGCTCTCTACACCTTTAAAAAAAAAATTCTTGCCAGGCGGTGGTGGTGAGCACCTATAATCCCAGCACTCAGAAGGCAGAGGCAGGTAGATCTCTGTGAGTTCAAGGTCTACAGAGTGAGTTCCAGGACAGCCAGGATTACACAGAGAAACCCTGTCACACAAAAAAAAAAAAAAAAAGAAAGAAAAAAAATCAAAAAAATGTTTTATTAGATTTATTTTCTTTTATATTTATAAGTGTTTTGCCTACATGTAAATGTACCACATAATACCTGATGCTCAAGGAGGTAAGGAGTGGGTATCGGGTCCAATGGAACTGGAATTATGGATGGTTGTGAGTAACCACGAGGGTGCTGAGAATCAAACTGGGGTCCTCCAGAAGAGCAACTAGTGCTTTTAACTGCTGAATCAATTCTCCAGCACCTCTCTACACTTGTAATGTGAAACTGTCCCTCTGAGTTATACTTACCCAATAATACTCTATTCAACATGAAAAAAAAATCTAAACTTCAGCCTAAATACATACTTACTCATGTTATTGTCCACTGACAATGGTTCTCAAAATTTCAAGTACTTTTTATCATCACAATTTTCCAATCATATATATACATATATGTGTGTATATATATATATTTACAGTAATACACATATAAATGTACATGTAAAAATAAATAGGTCAAATGAACTTTTATATATGTACATATTTATATAAAGGTTCTCATACACACACACACACTCAGATAATCATAATCTTCAAAGAGAGGCTGGAGAGATGGCTCAGCAGTTAAGAGCACTTCCTATTCTTCCAGAGGATCCAAGTTTGGCTCCCAGCATCCTCTTCAGGCAGCTCACAACGACTTGTAACTCCCTCGCCAGGAGATCTGATGCCCTCCTCTGGCCTCCCCCTACCCACATGTGACAATACATTCATACAAGCACACACACACATTAATATTTTTTTAAATCAGGGATCTTCAAAAGGATAACAAAGAAATGTTGAAATAAAAGTGTTTGTGTTTTTAACTTACTGACTGATTAAATCGGGTGCCACCTTACAGCCATCATCTGCCTCCTCTTCCATATCAGAGTCCAAACCATTGTCACCTTATAAAAAAAAATGAACTACTGAAAACATGTTTATAAAATGATTTTACCATTATATAAAAAGTGCCATCTTTAAAAGATACAAGTTTAATAAAGTAATAAAATATTTTTCTATTACTTGTATTTTTTAAGATTGATTTTATCTATGTGTTTGTATGTGTGCATATGTGTGTGGGCAGGTACATATATGCAAGTGTCCACACAGGGAGGATGTGGCATTACAGATGGATATAAGCCACCCAATGTGGGTATAGGAAACCATACTCACATACTCCAGAAGAACACCAAGTGCTCTTAATCCTAAACCATTCTCCAGCTTCCAGTGTTATATTTAAAATTGAGTTTTTCATTGTCTTCCCTTTATCAATCACATACAAACAAGAAGGTGTATGTACATAATTAGGGACTATATACATAAATATGTATATATTTCCAGAATTACAAAATGCATTAAATTCTTAATTTTTGTTGTTGTTTGGTGTGCATGTGTGTGTGTGTGTGTGTGTGTGTGTGTGTGTGTGTGTGTGAACACGCACGCATGCGTGCACCTACACATACACAGTGGGGAAGCTGCCTGCAGAGGCAGATGATATCAGATCCCTTGGGGATGGAGGTATAGGGAGCCACCTGATGTTGTTTGGGAACCAACTCCAGTCTTAACCACTGATCACTCTCCAACCCCATTACTTTACATTAAAAAAAAAAAAATCAGTCTCTGGAAATTGAAAAGATCTGCTTTTGTTTCTTCTGTAATACAAATGAGAAAAACCTCTCAAAGTTCCAAATCAAACCAAAAAAATAAAATAACTTGAAAATCCAAAATTCTAAAAGTTATCCGTATCAAAGAATAATCTTTGTTTGGGAGACATAAATGCTGGAAAATTGCAAACAATTCTAATATTACATCTAAGTCTTGTTGGAACAGGAGAAATACACAATAGTTCGTTATAAGTTATGAAGAAAATAAAGCAGAAAATATCTTAATTATTTTAAAGAAAATGTAACTTCTTGGTGATTTTTTTACAGTACTTCTGATATTTTTTTAATTCATTTTATTATAATATACAAACATGGACTTATTATATATTAGTTGGGGAAAACTATCAAATTTGGGGGTTTTTTGGAAAGTCTATTCTCATACATAAATTTTATATTTCAGTACAAACATAAGTAAAAATATTCTTCAGTGATTCCACAATAACGAAATTAAAGACACATTCAAGCAAGAGAAAGAAAACCTCAATATTTATGCAGAGAACCACTTAATAAGTTTGCAGAATGTAAAAATATTCATTCTTACCCTCAAGAATCTTCAAGATTTTTTTTTCAGACAGGAGCTCTAATTGTTCCTGGCATAGTTTTTTAATTTCTTCTACTGAACAGTTCTAAAGAAAATGACATTTAAAAAATGCATTTATGTACTATAGCTCCAATGTAAACTGGAAAACTGCAATTATAAGAAAAATTCCAATTAGCAAAATCTTATAATCAAACAAATTAAAGCCTCAAGAATATTCACATGAACTTTTTTATGGGATGAAATCTGAAAAGCTGTCACTTGACATGAAAATTTCAGAGATTTGAATGGATTTATTAGAAGGAAAAACTGAAGTACAAATCAGTCTTCCAGATACCCTTAAATGTAGTCTATTTACCTTACTTAATTCTTAAGATTTAAATCTTCAGGGAGTGACTAAATGAGTTACTCACCCTTACTATTTGCTTGGGCTTTCTATCCATAAAATCAGAATACTACGTATTTCCCTAATGTTTTCAGGAATACATACAAGAAAACACGTACAAACTTGATGAAACATAAGCTACTACAAACTATTGTTGTAGACTGTTACACAGCAGCATGTTATTCTTAAGTACTAGAAAGATACCTTATAAGTCCAACTAGTACCATTACCGGGAAATAATAAAATTATTTCCACAGGGTCAATAAATGACTTGCCTAAATATTTTTCTTTAAAAAAAAATGCTTCAACATATAAGGTCACTTAAGGTTCTTCAAATTCTCTTCCTTGCATTCTTTCAAGTAGCTTGTTCTAGATTAGAACATCCACTCACACACTACATTCAGTGAAATGACTGCTACACAAGAAGGTTCTCTTTCCACGTGTGTGCAGCCTCCTAATCCAGCAAAGTACCTTCAGCACATCAGGAAGCATCTTCTGTAACTTCTTTTCTCCTATTATACAGAAGCACTGCTGGAGCATTTCCTTTTTGTCTGATATATAGAAACTAACTGGTTTTAATGAAACAGTCAGATCCAGTCCACCTTCTTCAACATCACTGTGCTCTGCCAAGAATAATTCCTTTTCCAGAGTTGGCAGAAGACACTTGGTTTCCTACAAGTAAAAAAATAAGGAATTATTAAATAACACTATTTAAAATACTTAGAGTGTATGCATGACACCATCTATTGTCACTGAATTACTCTTCATTAAACATTTCTAAATTCCTTTTGTTTGCACAATTATCTATCTAAAGTCCGAAGAGAAAATGTAGTTGTTCATCACTCCTTAATTTTACTCTTCACTCTGCAGTTAACACAAGGAGTTTTAATAAAAGAAAAACATATCTCAGAAGACACAAATGAAAATACACTCCATAAGGACTATTTCCTAAAATTTTAGACTTGAAGCAAGTAGGAGATTCCTTCAGGGGCCATTCATCCAAAAGATATAAATGCTTTGTCATTCTACTTAAATTCATATAAAGAAACAAAACAGCAGCAAATGTTACAAACTACAATTAAAAAGCCACATTCTAACCACAAGCTATCATTTTTAAACTGCTGTATGATTTACTCATATTCAAAAGGTTCAAATAGTTTCAATAATTTAAGACATTTCTGACAATTATATTTCCTATTCCCCATAACTAGTCAGTCTTTCTGAATCTACTTCCAAAACTCTGGTCCATAATCTTTCCTAGATTATAGCAGCCATGGAGCTGCATTCCCCATATTCAGTATGAGACTTCAGTTTTGTATACCATTACAAGATGAATTTTCTAGAATGGGTCCTTACTTATCCTAATTTAAAACCATTAAATGATTCCATGCTGTTCTTGTGATACTACGTTCCACCTGGCCCTTCATGCTCACTTTTTAGGTTCGCAGCACAAGAACCTTCTCTGAATTACTCAAATACACACCTCCTTCCCTCAGCTCATAGAGGTGGGGCTTCTGTGTACCTTTTCTATAAGACTGCTTTTCCTCCCTCCTTCCCCTACACTCCACCATATCACACGATTAACAAGTGCAGATGCTTATCAGGTATGAATCTGAAAGGCCACATGAGGTGGGAAAGCATAAAAGATCTCTAATAGTTTTTTTATTTTCTTTTTTCAATTTAAAATTGTTTATTGCTGTTATATGAGTATACAATGTGTGACTTTACACTCACACATGGCAGTCAAAGGACAACTTCTGAGAGTAGGTTTGCTCCTTCCACAGTAGTTTCAAGGATGGAACTCAGGTGCAAGGCTTGTGCAGCCCCACTGAGCCATCTCACTGGCTCTTAAAATTTCTTTTATGAGCGTGCTTTTTTAGGGTAGGCAAGATGGTGCCCATCTTTAACCCCAGCACTAGAAAGGGAGAGGCAGATGGATCTCTGTGAGTTCAAGGCCACCCTGGCCTACACAATGAGTTCCAGGATAGTCAGGGCTACATAGTGAGGCCCTGACTGAAAACAAATAAAAAACAAACAAAAACCAATTAAGCCTGTAAAGCCCTACCAATGGTCAAATTCTGATAAGCATGTAAAGAAAATATTATGAACTACTGTGCAATATACATAAACTTCCCAACTCAATCCACAATAAAAATTAAAGCTATAGGCTAGTCTAGTTAAGATTTATCCCAGCACTCAGGAGGCAGGTGGATCTTTGTGAGTTAGAGGCTAAATACTATCAGGATAGCCAGGGCTACATAGAGACTCAAAAATAAACAAAAATATCTACCACAAAGTAAAAATACTTCATACAACACATAGATCCAAAACACCAGACAGGGCTTATCCCAAGACAGTACATACAGTTTAGTATCAACTAGCTTACCAATACTTAAACAACAAAATTACACTAGCTGATACAATCACATAAACAGCATGCCAGGAAGTCACATGATAAAGACATACCCACCAGTTGAAGAAAATTCCCTAACCTGACCAAAGCCACCTTTCACAATTTGTCCCAAATATACTTACTGGACAACATTAGAAGAGTCCCACTAGAGCTCAGTGCTAGAGCATTAGCCTAGCAGGTTCAAGGCCCTGGGTCCAGTACAGAAGGAAAGGAAGAAGAGAGGAAGGAGAGTCTTACTTTAAAAACAAAACGGGAAGAGAATGCCTGTTGTCACTGCTACTATCTAATACAATACTACACTAGATTTTGATAATACAAAATTAATAACAAAAAAGTGCTAAAAAAGTAAAAAGTCCAGTATGATCACAATATTACAGAAAATCACTAGTAACAAATACTATGACTAGATAGAAGAAAAATCATATAGATAGTTGTACCCACAAGTCCCAATTTAAAGCTGTAATGTTAAAGAGTATGAGGCTGGAGAGACGGCTCAGCAGTTAAGAGAACTTGCTGCTCTTCAGAAGATGGAAACTTGGCTCCCAGCACCTACAATGGTCTTAAAATCACCTATATCTAGCTCCAACAGATCTCATGCCCTCTTCTGTCCTCTCTGGACACTTGCATTCATGTGGCACACACTTAAATGGGACACACACACACACACACACACACACACACACACACACACACTTCTTTTTTAATCTTAAAAACTGTAAAGAGTCGGCAAGGTGGCTTGGCGTGTAAGGGTGCTTGCTGCCATCCTGACAACCTGAGCTCATGGAGTCCAAAGGGACTCCATGAATTGTAGAGAACCAACACCTGCAAGTTGTCCTCCCACTCCACAGTTGCTATGGCACACATGCACACACACACACACATCCACAAAATAAATAAATGTAAAATTTGTTAAGTATTAAAAGAAAATACAGAATTATTTGACAAATTTTAAGATCTTCCAAAACACAAAATCTGGGAAGCAAAAGAAACTACCAGCTCTGGCTACAAAGAAATCAAAGGCTCCAGGACCGCATAAACAAAGTTGCAACATTTTCTGTATAAGCTACACAAAGGTTTAAAACTAAAGCTTAATATAAATACGTGTAAGACTTCTCAGTGAAACACTGAATAAAAGAACAGGCAAAGGATCTATACAACTATACAAGGAATCAAATAGAAAATAAAAATGTAAACACATTCAGTATCACTATTCATCAGGAAAATACATATTAAAACAATGTTAGCCGGGTGCAGTGGCACATGCCTAAATTTAATCCTAGTATTCAGAAAACAGAGGCAGACAAATCTTTTTGCATTTGAGGACTGCCTGTTCTACAAATTCCAGACCAGTAGGGACTATATAGTGAGACCCTGAATCAAAAAAAGGGGGCGGGGCCGTGCGGTGGTGGCGCACGCCTTTAATCCCAGCACTCGGGAGGCAGAGGCAGGCGGATTTCTGTAAGTTCGAGGCCAGCCTGATCTACAGCGCGAGATCCAGGAAAGGCGCAAAGCTACACAGAGAAACCCTGTCTCGAAAAAAACCAAAAAAAAAAGGGGGGGGGGGGTAATATTCACTTGGCCCTTTAGTCTGATGACAGCTCTCTGAAAGAAGACAGACAACAGGAATGGTGCGGTGGGACACACCTGTAATATCAGCATTCCAAGGACGGAGGCAGGAGGATGGATGCTAAGTTTCAGGCCAGCCTAGTCTACAGAGCATACATACTGCAAGTTCCAGGATAGCCAGGGATACAAAGTCGGGGGGAGGGTGTTAGGAGGATAACATACACTAGTGAAGATTTACAAAGACGAATATTTGTAGCTACAAATCAGTAAAGTCTTTCTTTAAAAGCATTTGGTTCTATTTCCCAGCACGTCTGTTTTGCTCTGAAAAGGTTTCGGTTCACAGATCAAGGGTTTAGTCCATCTTGGCTGTGAAGCTCTAGGATCGTGAGCATGAAGCATTTGAATATATCATCTGCAGCCAGGAACTAAAGAAAAGAAATTCATCGCTTTTTTTTTTCAATCCATTGCTTTTTAAAACGCATATACTTTGACATTGCAATTTCACTACTGTAGCTCTATGCCTATGCAACTCTTGCACAAGATCCATGAACATGTTCCATTTGGTATTTTATGTTAAAATTAAGAAAACTAAAAACCTAAACATTAATCAATACAGATATGTGGATACTGGGAAGTCCCTTAATCACATCACGTATGGAAGGAACCCCATTCAGTGCCGGCATATTACCCAATTATGTATACGTAAAAGGAAACCATTAAAAAGTGGCTGCATATCAACAGAAGGTATGCAGATCAAGCGGCAGTACGAAGGGCTTTCAACTTCTGCCTTAATCCCGTTTTCGATGGATTTTAAGAACACCTTCGTTTAATTGTAAGTTACAAACTACTGTTTTTAAATGGGGGTATCGCCACAGGTTGATGACGCACAAAAACATTTTTTGGTCCCAGGTGTTGAATTCAAATGTAAGAACTATGAAATTCTTGCACTTGTGACTGTGGGTAAAACTTTTGAACTTGGGTCTCAGTTTGAATTTTTTTTTTCATGTGTAATGTGAAAATAATCAGAATCCATTAAAACGGTAAGGTATGATCAGTGCTTACACCGGCATTTGTTAACTAGTTCCCGACCCCACGGAGCCTCTACCGAGATCGGGAAAACCACGAGTAAAAAGAGCCACGAAAAGTTTAATAGGAAAGGGGTACTTAGCAGTAAATTCAGAAACTTGGAAGTTCAAAACATGGGGACGGGTTCCACCGGACTCAGCACAGAACCGGCGGCCCTGGGGACCCCGGCACTAACAATGAGCTCCGGTGCGCGCCCGCCCGGCTCCGCAGCCCGGCTCTTCTGAGGGGCCGCAGCTCCGGGGACCGGCGCGAGGCGAGGCACGCACCTGCTGCAAGGAGCCCGAGACGCTGGAGGACGAGTCGGTGCTCCTCCGCTTTCGGCGTTCGCTCCGTTCCGCGCCGCCCGCCACACTCGCCCCGCCGCCGGCGCCCCCGCAGCAGCCGCCGCTCCCGCAGCCGCCCGCGGTACCGCCCAGCACGGGCACCAGGTCCGGGGCCGCGAGCGCAGCGGCCGCCTCCTGCCCGCTCCGCTTGCGCCGCTTCTCCCGGGAAGACTTCTTCCCCGTCATGGTCCCCGCACCGCAACCATCGGCGACAGCCAGCCGTCTCTGCAGCAACAGAACACCGCTTCCGTAGCGGCCGGCGGGGCTGGCGCAGGATTGACGTCACTTCCGGTCCCGGCGCGTTTCGCAGTGTGTCGTTTCTGGAGGAGGGACTCGGACGCGCCGTGCTCGCTGCTGAGGTGGTCTTTCGTTCGGAAGGTGACGTGTGGGCCAGTCGGGCTCAGTGTGGTTTTTTTTTTTTTTTCCAACCTCAGCGAAGATCCGAAGGTGGAGTTTTCCAAAAGATCTTTGCCTTGTGGGTAACTCTTTGTAGTGTTTCTCAGCTTACAAAAACGTTCGTGAGTAATTCTCCTTTGCCACCAAGTCCCACGTGTGATACCAACAGTATAGCAATAAAAAGAATTTCAGGGGGGGAAAATGCTTCCTCTCATTACGACCTCACTTGGGCAAACTGTTTTTAAGTGTTCTTTAAAGAGTTATTCAAGAATAGCGGTCTTGTGCTTCCGTATCTTTTCTCATTAATACTAATTTCGAGACATGATTCCTTGTTACTTTTAAAGAAATGTGGGAGCGGGGAGAGTAAAACGTTTAAAAAGAAAGGGTCTGGCTGTAGTATTTCACAGTGTTTAGTGAGCTCAAAGTTTTTATTAGAGTCAAGAAAACGGCCACCTGTGGAGATGAGTTCTAGCTGCCTCAGTAAAAGTCCTGAGATAGCCTAGGGAGAGGAACACCTTTGTTTTTCTTTCTGAGGTGATCCAGCATTGTTGTCTGGTCAAACCTACAACTCTTGGGCTTAACTGTCCCTGCCTCTACAATAGGTGGAACTATAAACACACAACACTATATACCTTGTGAAGTCCGAATTCGAATAGATTTGTGGATTTGTTTTGTTATTGCTGTGTGACATAAACACAGCTCTCGTCCTAAAGGGAATAAGAGTTTATCTGGAGCTATTTTGAGTGACCCTGGCCTGAGGAGCGCAGATTTAGATTACTCCAAATTCTATGTTCCAACTTGGAAGCAGTTTCATAAAGTTTTGTTTTGTTTTGTTTTGTTTATAATTTTACAAAGCAAAGATAAATCAAGGCAAGTTTTAAATACATTAGTGGGTACACCCAAGAGACAGATACATTGAGATAAGGGAGGGTACTATCCTGTAGGCCCAAGATTTTATCTGGTGACATTCTTAGTTCTTGGATTGATAAAAGCTAGTGCTCTGTTAAGTTAATAGCTTCTAAGAGGCTTTTATTATCACAACCTGTTAGTTCATATTGTCACATCCGAAGGAAACTCCAATTCCCCAAACTCCAAAAGGCAGTCCAAATGTCCAGAAATGAGCTCAACCAGGACAAAGGATTTCTGTCGATTAGATAAAAGCCAGCATTCCTCAGTGACTTGTGAGGCTGTTTCCCATCTATCAAAAGGAGTCATTTCACTTACCTCTGGCAGAAGGGATGTATGGCTACCTGTGGTGTGTGTCTAATCAGCATATCAGATCTCATGCTGGTCTACAGGTGCCTTCAGTATTACAGGTACCTGTTACACATTTCCAAGTCCATGCTAGCACCCTAGCCCTTCTTAGCTCCTCCCCTACCCTAAACTCCCTCCAGCTCATGGGCTTCCCTCTCCCCAGCTACTCAGTATTTTCACTATGTTTTCTCAATGTGCTGGTCCTGCTTCTCTCACTGTTTTCTCTCTTCTCTGTCCCCTGCTATTCTCCCCTCTGACAGATAGCCCTGGCCATCAGTCTACTTCTTTCTTCCTTTGGACTCTTACACATGCCTCTGGGTGTTCTCTCTCCTATCTATGATAAAAAACCTTCCCCTTAACCATACCACAGAGCAGTCATGTCAATTTATACACCGATAACAGAGTGTGGCAAGAAACGGCTGTTCCTGGAGGCTAAAACTAGCCCAAGATAAAGTAATTAGTCTCTGAAACTACAAAATTTCCATCTCTCCTCAGTACTGAAATTCCAATCCATCCATGATTCTCTGCCTACACAGGCTTCCAGGTTTGTTGTTGTTGTTGTTGTTGTTTTGTGGTTTTTGTGGGTTTTGTTGTGTTGGGGGGTTTTTTGTTTTTTTTGTTTTTTTTTTTTTTTTTTTGCGGGCGGGGGTGGGGGTTGCAGCCAGCCACAGCCTCTTTTCAGGAATTTTCTTTCACAGTTGTTGTTTTGGTTGCACATAGTCCAGGCTTGCCTGAAACTCTAAATAGCTAAGGATGGCCTTGCACTTTTTCTTGGTTTTTGTTTTGTTTTGTTTTTAGATTGATGTATTTATGTGTATGAATATGTTGCCTGAATGTATATACATACATGCACCATACCAGTGCCTGGTGCCCTCAGACGTCAGAAGAGGGCATTGGATCCATGGTAAGCCACTATATGGGTGCTGGGAGTGGAACCCAGGAACTCTGGAAAAGCAACAATTGCTTTAAACTGCTGAACCATCTCTCCAGCCCCAGCCCTGGACACTTGATTTTGCTTCCCCTTTCCTGGTGGTGGGATTACTGTAATACCTTGCCTAGTTTTCATAGTGCTGATAATCAAATTTAGCAGTTTGTGTATGCTAGCAAGCACTATCTACCAGTGGAACTACATTCTTGACCCAGTATTGACTTCTTTTTAAAGAACAAAAATTTTGTTGAAACCAAACAGCTGTCTCAATTTCATTTATTGACAAGGCTAACAGGATGAGTAGGGAGAGTAGAGAAATGGTTCAGTGTTAATAACTTTCACTGCTGCTCTAGTATCCAGCACCCTCTTCTGCTCTCTAGGCTCCTGCACTCATGAACACATACTCCCACACAAACACATACAAGTACATATAATTTAAGAAATAAATCTCAAAAATGTTAACATTTTAATCATTCTAAATAAGAAGTATGATAAGAAAATGGCCTTTACTGAGATTATTTATTATTTTTATGACATCACTCAGAAGAAACCTACAATGCTAATATTCTAGGTAACTACAGCTATACTCCTTGTATTTTCCTTGAGATAAAGAATTCTGACCTCATTTTTTGAGATGTTTTCCAGCCTCTCTTATTTCTCCATTTTGATCAAAATCTTCTACCAAGCATGGATAATCAACTGCTAGTTCTCAAGAGTTAAGAACTGAATGATCCTTGACCGGGCAGTGGTAGCTCACGCCTTTAATCCCAGCACTCGGGAGGCAGAAGCAGGTGGATCTTTGGGAGTTCGAAGCCAGCCTGGTCTACAGAGTGAGTTCCAGGACAGCCAGGGCTACACAGAGAAACCCTGTCTCAAACAAACAAACAAACCCTAAAGATCCCATGATGCTAGAAAGATTCATTCCTGCATAGTTGTCCCACAAAGCTGTAATTATGAGTTTTGAACTAAATTTTAGTGAGCAACACAGGTCTCCTGAGTGAGAGCTTTGGTCATGTAATACAGAAAAAAAATCACTGAATCATGTCCAGTTATTGGACATAATTCTAGTAGGTTTATGTGTGGTTCCAAGACATCAAGAGAGAAAATAATAATTTATGAAGGACAGCAAGCATACAAATTAGAAAATGCTGAGATCTAGATCTGAAAAGGGATCCAATTCCTAGGATAACCAGCTACCAGTTTCAGAAAGCCTAAATTCAAGCCAGCTAGGAAGTTGGTATGGCATTTTGTCAATTCAGTAAGCTCAAATACCTTAGTAGTTTCACACTTAACCTAAGAAACATTTAACCACACACAGCATGAAAAATGAAAAGAGTCTTTGTGACTGTATCACAGTCTGCTTTGGGGCAAGTAAGCATGAGGACCTGAGTTCCTATCCCCAAAACACAATGTCAACAGCCAAGTCCCATGATGCGGGCCTATAAGCCTATCCTGAGGAGAAAAGTGGTAGGATCTCTGGGAGTTGCTGTCCTCTTAGTATGGCTGAATCAGTGAGTTCCAGGTTCAGTGACTTCCTTGTCTAAAACAAACAAACAAACAAAAAACTACACAGAATGAAGAATCACAGAATTTCCTTGGGACCAAATAGCTCTGGCAAAAGAAGTGATTCTATTAATGATTGAAAAGATATTTCTACTCATGTGTTCCCTTTCCAATGGGGATGTTCTTACCCACAATTCCAGCATTTTGCTGGTACTTGACCAGTGTCACATATGTACTAGTGTGTCACATCCCTGGCAATGTCTGGGCCTGTTACCTTGTCAGTGCAAAGCATAGCTCTTACCTAAACGAAAATAAGAGGCTGCTTATGATGAGCCAAATGTGAGGAACAAGGATTCAGGCTGCTCCAAATAACATGTTTCAATATGGGAGCAGTTAAATGAACACATATTGTCACAGAACAAAAATTCAAAACTCCACATTTTTCGAATGTTTAGGTGGAAACTTAGCAGGTTATAGTGAAGTGTGGGAAATCCTGTTACAGGTTTTGGATAACAAGGTAATGCATTTCAACCTGATATTTGAAAGGTTGGGCAATGAAATGGTACTATTAAAGGAACTAATGATAACACAATATAATTTGACTCTGGACCTGCAATAGTCCAACTCTCCATAATCATAGAGTTCTAATCCTCCATGTAGTCTTTAATATAATTGTGTCATTTTTCTAGAAACTCTTAGTTTTCATATTGAGAAGGATCTACCTCTGTATTCATCTAGTGCCCTTATAAGTCTCTTCTTTTTTTGTTTGTTTTTGTTTTTTGTTTGTTTGTTTGTTTTAAAGATTTACTTATTTATTATGTATACAGTGTTCTGTTTGTATGTATGTCTGCACACCAGAAGAGGGCACCAGATCTCATTATAATTGTTTGTGAGCCACCATGTGGTTGCTGAGAATTGAACTCGGGACCTCTGGAAGAGCAGTCAGTGCTCTTAACCTCTGAGCCATCTCTCCAGCCCATAAGTCTCTTCTTTAGACTGAGTATGAACACAACTTTGAATAGTATAAAAATACGAAAAGGCCGGGCGGTGGTGGCGCACGCCTTTAATCCCAGCACTCGGGAGGCAGAGCCAGGCGGATCTCTGTGAGTTCGAGGCCAGCCTGGGCTACCAAGTGAGTTCCAGGAAAAGGCGCAAAGCTACACAGAGAAACCCTGTCTCGAAAAACCAAAAAAAAAAAAAAAAA